TGACACATAAAGTGAAACACTTATTTTTAGATTCCTGTGAAGAAAGCTACATGATTTAATGGAAGTGGCACTAGACCCAGACAAACCTGGGTTTGAATCTTGGTTCAGCTTCATTCACCACCACAACACTCTCCTGAGAGGACCTCAGAGGATGTTTGGGGGGACCTGGTCAGGCTGGGCATGCAGGAGGTACCCAGAAGAGAACGGGTTCCTTCTCCTTTAGCACAACAAATGCATCACACTTAAAGGAGCTTTCTAAGGCAGCAAGAATAAAGTCCAAAGTTACAATAACTTCCACTTCCACAACACTACGGAAAACAACCTAATAAAACATTGGCAAAGGATATGAACAGGTAGTTCACGGAAACTAAAACATACACTGGCAAGAAAGGGTCTTCAAAGAAAGAAGAAGGAGAAGGAGAGGAAGGAGAGGAAGGAGAGAGAGAGAGAGAGAGAGAGAAAGAAAGAGGAGAGAGAGAGAGAGAGAGAGTCTTCAGTATTTTTTGGCAATTTCGGAAATGAAAGGCGCCGCGGCTCAATAGGATAATCCTCCGCCTTGCGGTGCTGGCACACTGGGTTCTAGTCCCAGTCGGGGCGCCGGATTCTGTTCCGGTTGCCCCTCTTCCAGGCCAGCTCTCTGCTGTGGCCAGGGAGTGCAGTGGAGGATGGCCCAAGTACTTGGGCCCTGCACCCCATGGGAGACCAGGATAAGCACCTGGCTCCTGGCTTTGGATCAGCGCGGTGCACCGGCCGCAGTGGCCATTGGAGGGTGAACCAACGGCAAAGGAAGACCTTTTTCTCTGTCTCTCTCTCACTGTCCACTCTGCCTGTCAAAAAAAAAAAAAAATTAAAACAATGCCTTCTTTGCCCATTTGGGCTGGCAAAATGAACAAGATTCATTCTCTTCAATGTCGGCTAAATTGAAGGGAAACATGCATTTTACACATTTATGGAGTACAAACTGACAAGGCCTCTTGAGAGCTATTTGGCAAAACTATCAATTCAAAGTGACTCTTTGGTCCAGAAATGTTACTTGTGGGCATCTAGAAGACTGGAAGATTTGTACTAACAGTGATGGAGTGCACAGATCTCTCACTATTTTTAGGACAAAGAGGCACAATGTTAATTTCCATCAGTAAGGAATGGTTCAATAAATTATGGTACATTCATACTCTGGAATTAATAACACAAGGCAAACTTGCCATGTCAGCACAAACAGCTCTCCTAGTCACAGCATTAAATTACAAAGCAAAGGAAAACTGTTTGGTGCAGTAATTAAGATGCCACTTGGGGGGGTCAGCATTGTGGCATAGTGTGTAAAGCTACTGTCTACAGCACTGGCATTCCATATGGGCACCAGTTCATGTCCCAGCTGCTCCACTTCTGATCCAGCTCTGTGCTGATGGCCTGGGAAAAGCAGCAGCAGAGAATGGGCCAAGTGTTTGGGCCCCTTCCACCCATGTGGAAGACCCAAATGAAGGCTCCTAGCTTCGGCCTGGCCCAGCATTGGCCGTTGCAGCCAACCGGGGAATGAACCAGCAGATGGAAGATCTCTCTGTCTCTCCCTCCCTCTCTGTAACTCTGATTTTCAAATAAATAAATAGATCTTTAAAAAAATAAGAATAAGAAGATGCCACTTGGGACCCCTGCATTGCCATTCCAACATGGGATGCAGGCGTCCCAAGCAGTATCTTCTGATTCCAGCTCCCTGCTTATGTGCACCCTGGGCGACAGCAGTGACTGCCCTAGTACTGGGATCCCTGCCACCCACGTGGGAAACCAGGCTTCCAGCTTCAGGTTGGCCAGCATTTCCTGGGTAGACAATAGAAATGAGATCTCTGTCTACCTTTCAAAGACATTCTTTAAAAAAAAATTTTTTTTTGTAAAAAAAGCAAATCATAGCAAATACTGTGTAACACAATTACATCTGTGTTTACAGTAAGAGTATCCACTGATAAGGTGTAGAACTAGGGACCTCTCAGTAGCAATGAGCACACTGGGGCCTACAGCTTGGTTTCTAACACCACCCCTCAAAGAACCAGGGCCAGGGAAGTACAAGCTGAGTCTTGAAGATTTTTGTGCTGGGGAAAAAAATGAAGTTCTCACAGAATGATGTGGATATGTCAAAAGGATATAAGAGCCACTCGAAGGGATTCCCACTGGCCAAATCTGGGACAACTAGAGTAAAAAAAAAATAGAGAGAGTAACAGGAGTTACAGACAAAATCTTTTGAATAAAATTTAAAAATTAATGAGGGAGAAAAAAAAACCTATTTCTTTCAACAAAACTCCAGCCACTCCACGTAAAAGGAAATGTGGAACTAGAAAATCACCATCTGTCCACTATCATAATTGAATCAAGCAAGAAGCAGCAACTGATGCTAAAACCAGTGGGTGAAAATACAAAGAGTAACAGTGTATTTACACTGTCTCAAACATCTTCCTATGAGATACATATTGACTACAAGGCAGAAAAGGCAACTTGTCAATGAGGCCCATACCATCTTAGTCATCAAAGTCAGCTGGGCCAGTGTACCGCAGGTGACTCCTGATGGAGCACGCGGACGAAACTGCAGCAGCAACCCTGCAGCTCCCGCCAGAAGGGCACAACCTGAATCCAATCATGAGGAATCACAGGAAGCCCAAACTGAGAGACGTTATCTAAAAAGACAAAGTCACTAGTCTTCAAATATGTCAATGCCATGAGATACAAAGAAGACCTGGGAACTGTTTCAGATTAAAGAAGACCACAGAGGTAGAACAATCTAATGCAATAGGAAATCTAGGATTTTCTTTTGCTATAAAGGTCATTACTAAGGCAATTGGCAAGATTTGAATAAGACATGTACATTACATGCAGATGCTGTATCAACATTAATCTCTTGGTTTTTAATAACTGTACTGCCATAATGAAACAATGTTTTTACTTTTTATTTATTTATTTATTTGACAGGTAGAGTTATAGACAGTGTGAGAGAGAGACAGAGAGAAAGGTCTTCCCTCTGTTGGTTCACTCCCCAAATGGCCGCTACTGCCGGAGCTGCACCAATCCGAAGCCAGGAGCCAGGTGCTTCCTCCTGGTCTCCCGTGTAGGTGCAGGGCCCAAGCACTCGGGCCATCCTCCACTGCCTTCCTGTGCCACAGCAGAGAGCTGGACTGGAAGAGGAGCAGCCGGGACTAGAACCCATATGGGATGCTGGCACCGCAGGCAGAGGATTAACCAAGTGAGCCACGTTGTCGGCCCAAAACAGAATGTTTTTAGAAAATACAAAGTGAAGAATTTGGAGACAAGGCATCAAGCCTGCAACTATTAAATAGTTCAGAAAAAAATCACACATGAAAGAGAAAGGAATTAAAGCAAAGGCAGCAATATGTCAAGATTTGGAGAGTCCAGGTAAAGGCTATCTGAGAATTCTTTGGCTTATTCTTGCAAGTCTTTTGTGAGTCTGAAATCATATCAAAATACAAAAAGAAAAAAAGAAAGCAGAGAGGCCGGCGCCGCGGCTCAGTAGGCTAATCCTCCACCTTGCGGTGCCAGCACACCAGGTTCTAGTCCCGGTCCGGGCGCCGGATTCTGTCCCGGTTGCCCCTCTTCCAGGCCAGCTCTCTGCTGTGGCCAGGGAGTGCAGTGGAGGATGGCCCAGGTGCTTGGGCCCTGCACCCCATGGGAGACCAGGAGAAGCACCTGGCTCCTGCCTTCGGATAGGCGCAGTGCGCCAGCCGCAGCACGCCGGCCGCAGCGGCCATTGGAGAGTGAACCAACGGCAAAAGGAAGACCTTTCTGTCTGTCTCTCTCTCTCACTGTCCACTCTGCCTGTGAAAGAAAGAAAGGAAGGAAGGAAGGAAGGAAGGAAGAAGAGCATGCATATGCATAGAAATACAGGTAAATTCCTGGGGATTAGGTTCAAGATGGTATTTTCCTTATAAGCACACAGAGACACACAAAGCAAGCCCACTTGTTTTGTTACTATTGATCTCCCCAGAGTAAGCTCTTCTCACAGGGCTTCTGTTCTAGGACCACACAGAGCAGGGGAAAAGCTGTTTTAAGGCTCTCTTTCCAGACCAGCTCATTAATCAAGTTCTACAAAAGCAGCAGCCACATAATCAAGCCAGCCTCACTACAGATTCGTGCGATTTTTTTTCCCTCAGTGAAAGTCAAATTTTCCTGACACCATGAATAGCTGATGATCCTAAGGGAACATCTGGAATACAAAGGCTTAAAAGGGATTTTTTTCATTAAAAAAATCAGGATAAAACTGATGATGAACAGTAAGTCAGTCTCTCTCTCTCCAGTCTACCTTATCCTTGTTGAATTCTTCAGAAACGAGGCCACGGGGTGGGAGCAGGGAATCAGCTGGTCCCACAGCGCCCTTCTGGGTCTGTTCCCAGGGTGCATCCATGGAGAGGCTCCAGAGAACGCTCCCAGGCCGGCAGCTGGCTAACGGACTTGCAGACCCAAGGGTCTCTGAGAAACACATGCCGTCTTTCCAGTGCACTGCCAATGACCGACAAGCTCTCATGTATATTATTTGATTTCATCCTGTCCTGAAAGTGATTTTAAAAAAACACTACTATTTAGTTTCATAGCAATGCCCCACATCCAGTTTCCAGAACAATGGGATAAACTAAAAGGCTTACCCTTGGTACCATGTCTACTTGGGAGACAGGACCTATGGGGACAAACACTCTGAGATGGACTACAACCAAATGAAAGCACCACAGGTAAAGTAGCTAGGTCAGTACAACTGATTCCATCAGCGAGCCCAGTAGAAATCCAGTTCTTTCTCTTTGAATCTGCCCAGCCTGGCTCCCTTGAAGCCCCTTCTTCCAGCCAAACCCTCCCAGGAACTTCAGCTTGATGCTACTGAGGTGTGTTTACAAGACACGGCAGGCCTTGTAGGCTCCATTCAAGAGCAACGCCGCCCTGGGCCATGGTCTCCTGACAAGACCCCTCCAACAGGACAACCAGGCTGGCCGTCTCACAGGGCCAGCATCACTCACCTTTCTTCAAAGAAGCCAGTCAATCTTCGAGGAAGAAACATTTCAGCAAAGCATTCCCCAGACACAGGCCCCAGCCCACAGCCGAACACAAAATTCCTGTTGCAGAAAGCCTGTTCTCAACCGAAGACAAATCAAGCTTAAGTCTAGGACAACCTATAGCTATTGTGTGTGTACTGCCCAAGGCCAAGAGCATGTAGATTCCAAAAACAAACTCAGCCAAGAAGGTTCTGTTCTTGCCTTTTGGAGCTGAGAACCCTGACGCCTAAGGTTAGCAAGTGCACACAACTCACTGTGAACACGGGGAGGGAGGAGGCAGAATTTCATGTCAACATCCACACCACCACCCCACCCCCTATCCCATTATAATGGGCAGGTGACAAATCAAATTCTACGGCAGCCACCAGACACAAAACACGGGGACCAGCAAAGCAACAGAACACGGGCTTCTCCACCGCCCATCCCCTCCTCCTCGCCAGGGGAATATTTTCATCATCTGTCATGATGGATGAACTATGGGCAGGAGGAGCGCATCCTTATGTAATGGCAGAGAGCAGGCCAGCAAGAGGCCATCGGCGCTCCCTCCCTGCGCCCACAAAGACAGACAGGTACCCGGAGCGTCTCGGGCTCCCGTGGCCTACGCGTTCAGGGCTGGAGAGAGGGCCACAAAGCCCCGCAAACGTCTCCGGCCAGGGAACAGGCATGAGGAGTTGCCAGGATGCAGACCTGATTTCCAACACCTGGGTGCGTGTTTATTTTTTTTACCAGGCTGTGTTTACTCCAAAACACCGAGGCCAGGCCTGCCTGGAACCTCGGGAGTCCCTAGCCCCGGCCCGGGAGACGCCGCAGGGCAGGGTTCGGGCGCGCGTCCTTCTCCCCCCCGCGCCCGGCGCGGCGCGCGCTCGGCACCCGCGACAGCCCCGGGCGCGGGGTCGGCCGGACTCGGATGGTTCTGCAAAGACGCCACGGCCGGGGATCCGCTAGGCTGGGCGATTTCCATGACAACCGCAGGCGCCGTCCCCGCGCGGCCCAGGCGAGGCAGCGGGACGCGGCCCCCGCACCCGCGCGCGCCCCCGGCCCCCTCAGCCGCCGCGTCTCCCGGCTCCCCCGGCCCACCTACCTGGTGCGCCCGCCGCCCAGCTGTCCCGCCGTCCTCAGTCCCCGCCGGGCCGCGCGCCCGAGCCCCGCTGCCGCACCACCAGCAGCGCCGCGGCTCGAACGTCCGGTCCACAGCTGCGGAATCTGCCTCACGTGCTCGTCCTCCTGCCCCGGCCCGTAGCGCAAGCCCCGGCCGCGAACCTGTCGCCCGCTGGCCACCCGAACACCGGCTACCGCCGCCGCTCCGGACGCCGCGCTCCGCCCCGCCCTGGACCCGCCCCCTCGCCGCGCATGCGCGCCCCGCCCCGGCTGGCTCCGCCTCCCCGGCCGCCGAGGCAGGTGTCAGAGGCGCTCAGTGGAGTCGTGAGCCAGCGGCCGGCGCGGACCTCGGGAGTGAGCGCGCCTCCCCAGGTGCAGTCGCACTCACGCCCTGAGGGGGTCCTTGGGAACTGCACGTTCCAACCGGAAACCAGCGAGGGAGTCACAGTCACGAGGCTGTCAGCGCACAGATTTGCACAAGGGAGAGAGGGATTGCTGACGACTGGGTGCGCTGCGTGTCTGTCCTTGAAGACTGTTCTGACGCGTGCATGAACGTGCGTGTGCAGATTTCCAACAAACACCTGACACGTCTCCCCTCAAGTCCCATATTTTGTATGGGGGGGGAGGGAAAAGTAGTTAGAAGTTTTGGAAGACATGACGTTAATTTTAATTAATTTTATTTGAAAGGCAGGAGACAAATTATTGAGAGACCGGAGACAAATTCCCCCAAATTCTTGGGACTCTGGGTCTCCCATATGGGTGGCGGGGATCCAACCACTTGAGCCATCACAGCCTTCCAGGGTGCACATTAGGGGTAAGCTGGAGTTGAAAACAGCCAGGACTTTAATCCCGGCCGGCTGTATTATGACTTTAAACCTCAATATTTCTGTTTGAGAAAGGGTAACACTGGACTGAACTTTGTCTTATCTTTGAAACTTCATTATGTCTCATCAAGAAAAAAAAAATCTTTCTTCCTAAAAATTCTTAAATGAGGCCGGCGCCGCGGCTCACTAGGCTAATCCTCCGCCTCGCGGTGCCGGTACACTGGGTTCTAGTCCCAGTCGGGGCGCCGGATTCTGTCCCGGTTGCCCCTCTTCCAGGCCAGCTCTCTGCTGTGGCCAGGGAGTGCAGTGGAGGATGGCCCAGGTGCTTGGGCCCTGCACCCCATGGGAGACCAGGAGGAAGCACCTGGCTCCTGCCTTCGGATCAGCGCGGTGCACCAGCCGCAGCTCGCCGGCCTCGGCGGCCATTGGAGGGTGAACCAACGGCAAAGGAAGACCTTTCTCTGTCTCTCTCTCTCACTGTCCACTCCGCCTGTCAAAAAAAAGAAAGAAAGAAAGAAAAAAATAAAAATTCTTAAATGAACACCATTTAATAAACCGGAAATACTACCTCTAGGTCAGAGTTTGCATCTCTCAGATACAAAAACAAGCAAGCATGTATAATTTGCTTTAAAGAGAAGATATATAATCTGTTAGAACATAAGAATTCTCTGAACTCATTTAGATTTAGGTATGATCTTCCCATGTCAGCAAATACCAAATGCAGACAATAGTCTGGAGTAAAATAAACATTTATAAAACTAGTTGGGGGGGGGGGGGCTGGTGTTGTAATGCAGCAGGTAAAAGCCACCAGCTGCTACCCAGGCATCCCATGTGGGCACCAGTTTGAGTCCCAGCTGCTCCATTTCCTACCTAGCTCCCTACTAATGCACCTGGGAAAGCAGCAGAAGATGGCCCAAGAGCTTGGGTCCCTGAACCCATGTGGGAAAACTGGAGAAAGCTCCTGACCGCTGGTTTTAGCCTGGCCCAGCCCTAGCTGTTGTGGCCTTTTGGAGAGTGAGTCAACTGATGGAAGATTTTCATCTATCTCTCCCTCTCCTTCTCTCTCTCTAACTCTGCCTTTCGAAAAAAAAAACAAACATAAATTTCAAAAAGAAAAAAGAAAAAATTACTTTCGGGGAGTAGCTGTTGTGGCACAGCTGGTAAAGTCACTGCCTGTGATGCCAGCGTCCCATATGGGTACCGGTTTGTGTCCCAGCTGCTCCACTTCTGATGCAGGTCCTTGTTAATGGGCTGGGAAAAGCAGCAGAAGACAGTCCAAGTGCTCGGGCCCCTGCACCCACATGGGAGACCCTGATGAATTTCCTGACTCCTGGCTTCTGCTTGGTCCAGCCCTGGCCTTTCCAGCCATTTGGGGAATGAACTACCAGATGGAAAATTTCTCTCTCTCTCTGTTACTTTCAAATAAATAAGTAAATCTCTCTCTCTGTAACTCTGATGTTCAACTAAAAAAATCTTTTTAAAAAAATAATTTGTAATTTCTATCCCTTTCTTCTTATTTCTTTTCTTTATTGCTTATTAACAAAATACCTTTTATTAGTTCTTCAGATAAATGGAAGAAAATATTGACAGAAACTTGACCACAGTACAAAGTCAAACCTGTAAAAGTGAAAAAATAATTTTTATATTTTTTTTCTAAAATTAGTGTGACCAATATACCTGGTTTGCCCAGAAAAGCCCCCTTTTATGTCTTTTCTTCCAGCAAAATTATTAATAGGGCTTCCTTTCACTATCAAAAGTGTTTCAGTTTAGATGATACATTCTATGGCCATGCTATTTATAAACAAGCTGAGAGACATTTTAAATCAATAACTTTGAAAAAAAGCAACATTTAAATTCACGAACATTTAAAAATAGACATCAGTCTAATTTCAACTTTAATTCATTTGGTACACTAACAGACAATGAATTCGGATCAGGCTTTGGGTAACATTTATCACTTGGTTGTCGTGTAATTCTAGATAATCTGAAACGATCAATCTTGTTTTCCAGGGCCATAAACAGTGGAGCCCCACAACCACGGTAGAAAGAAAATGATCAAAGGAAAAGGGAAGCAAATCCACTGTTTACTGTCCTGTGCAATCGCTAAGCGTCAAAACATCTCGGAGAAAGTTCCCTAGAGACCTATGTGTGGTAAAGTCCCTCAGTCCTTCAGAACTTCTCAGCACGGGGTCCCCCAACAGTGTCATCAGCATCCTCTTAGAACTTGCTAGAAATGCGAATCCCCTGACTTCTCTGCAGACCTGCTGAATCAGAAACTCTGAAAGTGGAGCCAAATGGTCTTTTAATAAGCCCTCCTGGAGAGACTGATGAACATCCTTACTTAAAATCCAAAGACGATAAGTAAACTGGTTTAGATAATTGACATACAATAATTAAGAGCCAAGCAGTGTAATCTTTTTTTAAAAAAAAATTTATTTATTTATTTGAAAGTCAGAGTTACACACACATACAGAGAAAGAGAAAGAAAGAGAGAGAGAGAGAGAGGTCTTCCATCCGATGGTTCACTCCCCAGTTGACTGCAATGGCTGGAGCTGTGCCAATCCAAAGCCAGGAGCCAGGAGCCAGGAGCCAGGAGCTTCCTCCAGGTCTCCCACACAGGTGCAGGGGCCCAAGGACTTGAGCCATCTTCCAGTGCTTTCCCAGGCCACAGCAGAGAGCTGGATCAGAAGAGGAGCAGCCAGGACTTGAACTGGTGCCCATATAGGATGCCAGCATTGCAGGCTGCGGCTTTACCCACTAGGACATAGTGCTGGCCCCCAAACAGTATAATCTTTAGGACTGGAATCACCCAGTATAAAAATTTTTCTTAAGCCCATTAAACATGACATGAATATATGGCTTCCATTGAAGAATATAAGGAGGCTTCAAAACTTTTATGGAATGTGTGCATTATCTTTTCTTTTCCATTCCATTTTTCTATGAACTTTTGGAAGCCACCTCTTGTATGGTAGGACTCACTAGGTCTCTGGAGCAGAAATAGTTAACTCCCCTAATGGAGAGTGACCCTGAGGATGGCATAGTGGCACTTCATGGCCTAAGACTTTCACCACCCCCTGCCTGTCTGGGACATCCCAGGCTGATAAGGGCATAAGTCATAAATTGGCAAGTTTGATAAGGGAGGCCCCTGCCTGGTCAGGCCTACCTTATCGCTGTAGACTTGGGTCTTTGCACGTATACATGAGCCTTTCCCAGGCCAGGGGTATAAAAAGACAACTGCCATCACTCAGTGTGGTGTGCTGCTCCCCCGCCCCTCCTTTTCTGATATTCTCCTTGCAGTAAAACTCTCCTGCCTCCACCAGTGGCCTCTTCACTTTACTGGAGGTATAAAATGCCAAGAACCTAACAACATACGTGGCCTTGGAACCAACAGCCCTGCACCCGTAATAGTGAAAAACAGCGGCACAGCTGACACTGGGGCGGGGGGGTGGGATGCAGTAGGGACTGGAAGCATCTCAAAAAGCCCTGTCCCCAGAGAGGCGGCACTATTTCATTTGTCTGGCAGCTTCCTGGAAAAGCTCCATGCTAAGAGCTTTCTGTCTGGCTCTATCAGCAGGGCATTTGTTAAAACCAATCAACACCTATCGATCAACATTGAGGCTGTCTGAGGTGATGAGACCAGTTGGAGCTTATAGGTAGGAGGCTGATCAAAAAAAAAAAAAAAAAGGAGGAGGGGATGAGGATGAGGAATGAGCTGCCCCTGGGGGACTTTGGAAAGATCTGACCTCTTTCTGGGAATCTAAAAGGACATTCAGATATATACAATGTGCACATGCCTAGAGAAGACTCTAGAATACTCATCTTTCACCTTTGACCTTGAAATGTCTTGTTATTTTTAGAGATTATTCCTTTTTTCAGATTTATTTATTTGAAAGAGTTACAGAGAGAGAGAGAGAGAGAGAGAGAGAGAGAGAGAGGTCTTCTATCCACTGGTTCACTCCCCAGATGGCCACAACAGCCAGGGTTGAGCCTGACCGAAGCCAGAAGCCAGGAACTTCATCAGGGTCT